ATATATATTCAATGAATATTCAATGAATTATTTGGTGAATAAATTAAATATTCGAATATTCAATTTGGTGAAAAAAAATCTTATTCGAATATTCGAATATTCAGTGAATATTCGAATATAGTATTCATCGGATCAGACCTCTACTGACGAGAATAATAGTGGTTAAATATAGTAAATATGTACGTAAAAGGATTTCATATGATAGTTATTTCATGATATATATTTGGTGTGATCTGATCATATTTATACATAAAGATAAGCCTCACAATCGATCTTCCGGAGAACTAAGCCCAACATAACTTAAAGACAATAAGAAAAGGCAAAAATGAAGCTTTGGGATTCGAATAGATATGATGATCAAGGAACAATGGACGAGAGTAGTCCTTTTGACGATTTGTTCAAATTGTCAAGGACTCAGCGTCTTTATGCTTTTGGAATTTGGTAGGTTCTCTATTTGCATATTGCATACGTCCATAGTTTGCAATTGACTATTTTCCAAAAATTAATATTTTTATTCGCTTTTAATTGTTGAATAGCTTTGGCATTGGCTTTCTCATTAGCATACTTGTTAGCAATATATATTTTATATCACAATAAATTTATTAAAACTAAATATATTGATCGTTTATTTTACTACTTTGTACGCAGTCAACTTTAATGTTGATAACTGGTAACTTGCCTGGGTTCGCCGTTTTATACACTTTCGGTAATGTCGTGTCACTTTTAAGGTACGTAAAAGATGCCTGTTATTATTTTCCTATTAGAATTATCTAATGAATTCAATTTAGTACTGGGTTCCTGGTTGGATTCGCGAAACAAATAAAAACGATGTTTGCACCAGGTATTCTCGAATTTTTTTTGTAATTGCATAAAAATTACAACTATTAAACTCTAACAAAATTAATTCATTATTTATGAAGTTCGTTGGCTCGCTAGTACTGTTTTCATTGCAACGATGGCAGTCACGTTGGTTGTGGCATTCTTGGTACTCATTATTTTGTATTTTCTTTATGATTCTCTATGTTCTAGTTCTAATAACAAATCATATATTAACTTTTTTTAAAATTTGCGTTTTTAATAGTTACAAAGTTTTATTCTTTGTATCATCATGTGCATCGTTCAGTTTTTAGCTCTATTTTGGTATTGGTATGTTGATATTTTTCACTCAAATATATTAATATGATTTATCAATTATGATACTAATATCTGATCTGTATCACTTTTTTTAGCGCAAGTTACATACCTTATGGCCGGTAAGATCTTAACCTTGATAAAATTATCGATTTATGTTTATACCTATAACTATTAAATCTATTTTAATTTATTTAGTTCGATCATTAAAAAAATGTGTGGCAGTTGTATTGAGAGTATCGTATAATAACGATATAGTTATTCATTACTCTATAATAACATCAATTCCTTGAATTAATAGTATACATAGTGTAGTTTATCTAATCCCTCACATATAATTGTCCTCTTTTACACGCAATAATTTATACACACGAAAACAATTATATCATAAACTTTTTACACTTTACCATATCAAATTTGTGATGTACAAAATATTATATAAAGCATAATGATCGGAAATTATGTCCGTTAATCCATAGAGGCAATTTCAATATATGATCATACAATTTTCTTAACTGATATTTGTTTAAACGATAATTTTCCAGGTCATATATTCACCTGTCCTGTTACTTTAAATAAAAATATTATGTTTCTTATATCTGTTGCAATATAAAGGAAATAAAACCATGGATTATCATATCTGATATGTTAACACGTGATTATATAACTAACTTTTTTGATTATCGTTATATCCAATGATTTTCCGCGTTACAGGTTTTGCATACCTGATACAAATTTCAGACATTCAACCAATCAAACCGTGATTTTTTGGTACCATTCAAGACGAAGAATGGATTTAAATGATTTGCAAATAGAAACATATATAAAATTTATTTTATATAATTTGTTTCCGTTACTTATAACACTTTTTTATTGAACATGTATCTATTCAAAATCAAAAAAAATTTTTTTCAAAATGGGCCCGAAGAGTAAATTAGCCGCGCAACCAAAATTCAACAGATCGAGGTTCGGAATTGATTAAATTCACACTAATAAACCGGTAGCCTATGTATTAAGTAAAAATTGCGCAGCTATTAATTTTGCTATAGTGTAGTTTTGGCTTGGCTGGTATAGTAGTATTATGCTTAATGCCGGCCTAGCTCCGGCCTACTCCGACTCTAAATTTTTGCCGATCTGCTGAAGGTTGCCACATCTTCGGGCATGAACACTGACGTCCGGTCTGAGTGACACTGATGTTGGCCCATGTGGAATCGCATCTCAGGATACAAAAAAATATATTTATAACGAGAATGCATATCTCTAAATAAAAGACCAGATCCGGTAAAAAATATACTCCTTAACTAGCTTAGTTCATATTGTTATTCGTGACTTTATTGAACAATCATCGCGTGGATTTGGGACGGGATTTGGCCAGAGTTTTGGATTTGGGATTGGGTTTTTTCATATGGGATTTTAGGCATGACTGGACAATTCTATTTCGTCCGGGTTTGTCGATGTACCAATCCCAAATCCCATCAAGTATATTCACTCTTTGAAGTCAAATCCGGACTTCGCCGATTTGGCTTGTTTTTGTTCATTGCACGCACTTTAACTAGTGTTTTTATTATATACACTTTTTTTAAACATTTATATTTGATATTCATTTTACATTTTATTGTTACCTATAAATTTGAAGTTAATATTATATAATTTAAGGATGTACGCTGCTTGTTCTACAACAGCACAAAGAGGTGCACTCGATTGGTATAAACCATTTCATGATGCTACCAAACCAATTTTTGAAAAATTATATGCATCAGTAGCTGACGGGACTGAAACGCGACGGACGTTAGAAAAAAATTCGTCGCCTACATATCGTGAAGAGCTAGAAGAAGAACTAAGAGAAATTAGGTACACATTTTTATTTCGGATGAATACAATACATATAATAAGTACGCATATTTTTTAATAAATAAAATTATTTTCTAGGGAAAGTGAGATTTGGAGAGCTGGCAAAACTGTACGTTCTCTTCGCCCGGAAGCAAAAAAATAAATAAAAGTGTTTGTTGTACACATAAAAAATATATTTGAAACGAAAT